CATAGAAGATAATTATGCAAGGAGAAAATATTTAAATTTACATAAATTATGAAAAAAAATATTTTAAAGCTCTAAAAAAAAATGGCAACGCTAAGAAAATTGGTAAAGAAACGACTAGAAGAACAATAAATGTATGATAAATGTGTAAAAATTTTTTTTAAATTATATTCTCCTAATAGGAAATCGAATTTTTAGCCAAAAGTTTCGTTCTATTGTTCGAACTTTCGGAAATTTCCAAGAATTTGACGTCAGTTCCAAGAAATTTAGAGATTCCGAGAATTTGACATCATTTCTTGGAAAAATTTTTCGATCGACCTTCTATCATATCATGTTCTCCTGATACAAAATCGAATTTTCGATTGAAAATATTATTCGTTCGAAGATTTAGAAATTCCCAAGAATTTGACGTCACTTCCAAGAATTTTAGAGATTCTGAGAATTTGACATCATTTCCAAGAATTTTAGAGATTTCAAGAATTTGACGTCATTTCCTTAATTGTTGAAAATTTCTGAAAAAATTTTTACAATCTCCTTTCATATTATATTCTCCTAATACAAAATCGAAATTTTAGCCAGAAATTGTTGGATTTTATATTTCCCCAAATTTTTCACATGTCATTTTTTTTTTTTAACTTTTATATAGTTTTTGATCTTGTATTTGTAGGAGAATCTAATATTTAAAAATGTGGAGTTAAATTTTTTTTGAAAGTTTACTTACCTTGTACTTATTTTATACTTACTTTTGAATTCTGCCATATTATGTCAATTATTATTCATTTTTTATCAGTTAATTTTAAGGGACTAAGGAATAAGTAAAATGATAGCATAGATAATAGATAATAGTATTGATATTTATTCCACGTAATATATCACTTGAAATCTCGCTAATTTTTTATAATATAATTTTAATATATTAAAAAATATTTTAAATAAGAATTGAATAATTTTCAGGAAGTTACATTATGATATTATTATTTTTTTTCACTATGGATATGTAAATAAATTTATCCGTAAAATCATATTTTTTAATACATGTATCATTGTATTTTGACATTCTTTATGCAAAAATATAAATAATATTCGATTAAAAAATTGTTGGTTTACGAAAGAAATAAATGTAATTGAATTTCTTGCAAACTAATAATTTTTTACTATTTATAATTTAATAGATTTTTAATAGGAATAATTCATTATATTTACCTTATGTGTTAAAAAGTATGATTTTATTTAAAAGTATGAAGTTGACATATAATATACTCGTATCTATACATCCATCTATGAAAAGAACAATTATCTAGCATTATATTTCTTTAGAACTATTCAACTTTTATCTGAAATATTTTTTAATATCTCTAAAAAACAAGCGATACTTATGTATAGGAATTCAAAAATGTAATATGAAAAGTTAATAAACACGTATTAATAAATAAATGTATTTTTTTTTATCTAAATTGTTTTCATAATATTTTTGTATTCTTTTGTAATATCTACTAATGAATTATTTATATAATTTCTTTTATTAGCGATTTTTATCATGTGATAACTAGTTTCTAAGTATAACGAGTTATTTTTAGAAATGACGACTTAATATCGTACTTCAATATAATAATTTTAAAATTCTATTCTATTGGAATCATTGTAATTATACAATAATTTATTTATTTATCTACTTATTACTTTATATTAATTAATAACTATTAAAAAATTTATAAGCTAATACAAGATATATCATTTACTAATACTTTATAAAATTGTCAATTAATCGTTAATCAATTTTATAATTTACAATTTGTTAATAATGAATTCGACTTTAGAAATAATAATTTAAAAATGTGTAAAATTTTAGAAATCTTCGATAAAAACATGTAGATATAAATATATAGTGTTGCAAAAAAATTAACAAAAGAATAATTCTGGAATTTTGAAAAAACCGAAATTCAATTAAGTTTTAAAAATGCCAAATTTCAATCAAATGTAATCAAAATTTAAATCAAACCAAGATATCCATATTTTACCTAATGATTTTTTTTAAATTTAACAACACTGCTATAAATGAGAAATTTTTGTAACAACAGCAAATATTTTGCAGCGATAAATTCGCAACACAATTATATACACAATTATTTTAGACACCAATGCGAAAATTTGTTTGATGTTTGCAAATTTATAATAGAGTGGCAAAATAAATCTAAAACTTGAAATTTCGAAACTTTGCAATTATTTTGTCTTTCTTTTTTCCTTAAAAATTACACAAAAATTACACAAAAATTTCGTCAAAAATTGAAATCTTAACAAACTTTAATTTCTAGAACTCCACAAACTCAAAATAAATTGATTAACGAAGGCGAAAAGACAAAAAGAAAGAAACAATAAAAAGAATTCGAAATTTGATAACATCTAAAAAATCTTTATTATATCAAAAATTATTTAATTTATTTCCAATCTTCTCAATAATACATATTAATTAATTCGATTCTCTCAAACTTACCATCTGTTACTATACAAACAATGTATAACAATGTATTTTAAATTTATAATTGAAAAAAAAAATATAATTAATCACTCCGACTTCTAAAAATAATCGAATCAAATGTTTGGCAAATATTTTACGAGAAGATCGATTGGAATTCCAATATTGTTTACCATTCCATCACCCAGATTCTTCCTTCTCTCGATTCTTTTTATCGCAGATAACGTGCTTTGCGAATACAAAAAGACAAGAGAATTCTCTCGGTTAACTGTACTTAAGTCACCGAGCAAACGGTTCTTGCTTTTTACATTTCGTGTGTGCTCGCGCTATCGGTGCGTATGGTGTTCGGCAACTGGAAAGGAAATCGATGGTAGAGGTCGAAATGACTCGCGTGCTTTGACTCTTGTGCGAGAGTGGGGATTTCGCGAGTGGGGATTTCGCATGAGGGGCTTTCGAAATTTTTCTACCAGTTTTTTTCTTTCCTTTTTCTTTTTTTTTTTTTTTCCTACCAGTTGAATTCGATGTTTATTTGGTTTCTCATTGGCAATCATTCCGTTCGTCCAAATTTGTTGAAGTTTATTTGAAGCGTGGAACGTGGAGTGGTGGAATTTTTGCACCGCGTGGAATGTAAATTTCTATTTGGCAATCGTTTTAACTGGCTAAATTTGAAATTTATTTGAAGCGTTGGAATGATGAGATTTGAACATATCGGACTACGTTCATTCGAAGTGTGAAATATTGAATTCTGGTTGACAATTATCATAGATTTAATTGACTGAACTTTACTCGAAGCGTAGAATGGATGCGATTTGGTTTATTTGTTAAATATCGAGTCTCGATTGACAATTATTCTTTAATTGATCGAATTGCAAGTTTATTCGAAAAAATAGTGAAATTTTAACTAATAATTGTGTTTATTAGAATACGGAATGTTGGTTCGAAGATGTGGTACGTGATCTTTTACGTGATTGGAACGAGATCGTTAGTGATGTAGATAATATTGATTGGTATATTAATTGCACTTGGTGGTTGATATATTGACATCGAGGTAGCTGTCTGACTGATTGAATTGACTGAACGATTGGTGATAAGATATTTGAACTTTATAATGAATTACGTGATCGAAATTGCAAATTCCTATTGATAGAATGTGAATTAAGAAAGTAAGAATTGTTTTTTTATATCTCTAAAGAATAATAACGAACAGAAAAGCTATAGATCTAAATAAAAATCTGTGAAACAAATTCCTTAAACGTAAACAGCAATATTTTAGAAAATAAAATAAAATCAGATCGAAGAATCGAAATTTTCCAGGCTTATTTTCCGCATAACAACATTTTGCAATCAAAAAATTGTAATAATTTTAATCATTACAAATTTTCATTTATACGAGCAGGAAATATTCTGATTACAAATAAGAAATAAATAGAGGAATTTAATAGAGAGAAGTAAAGCAAGAATGTTATAATCATCAGACGATAAAAAACTTTAACACGATCTTGGAAATATCGAACATTGGCATGGAAGGTTAAATATAGCCATCGTGACTATAAGAGTAAGAAGTAGAAGGCATAATAGTTCAATGCCATTTATTTTAAACGAAAATCCATTTTATCGTCGTTAATTTATCGATGGAAGCTTCAGGTATAGCTTCAAGAAAGCTATATACACTCTCGTTCATAAATCATAGGACGTTGTGACGGTCTGAGCGAGTGGCAGGAAATTAAAAAAAGAGAGGGAAGGAAAAAAGGTGTCTTTCTTCATCCTGGATTTATTAATGTGCTCATTAGTAAAGTTACTTAACAGACCCATACCGAAATAATGGAAAGCCAAGTTGGATGTATGTATATCTGAGAAATACATAGGCAGATGTTTGAGTAAATTTCCGGTGTAACTTCCTCTGATTGCTAGCACAGAAGCAACTTGATAATATAATTAAGTGATAAATTGAACGTTGTAATTAGAAAATGATACTCGACAAATTTTAAATATTAAGAAAAAAATATCAAAATATACATTAATCTCTATTTTTCAGTAAATGAAATATACTTTTCTTTTTTTGATATATTCATTCGTGTCATTAATAATATTGAAGACAGTTATTCAATTGAAAAGACAGCTTGTAAATGCCTTTATTTTAACATAAAGATACGTAAACATAAAAGAAATTCTATCTTAAGATGTATATAGTGAAGTATCCAAAAATCCAAAGAAATATTATATATATATATATATCAGGATTGTATATTCGAAAGTTGTGCGAATCAATTCCAACAATCTACAAATGACACTGATCACAGAATAATATTTTACGTTTCGAAAGTTCTGCGAATTAATTTCCAAAAAAGGAACGATCGAACAACTCTAAATATTCATTGAGAAAACAACAACTGATCACAGAATAATCCCAAACAATCCTAAATATTTATCGAAAAGATGAATTAGAAAGGTCAATTAGCAAATTAATAATAAAAATAACGAATATTTCGATCAAATTGATTAATCGTGGAACGATATTTCGCATTTGCAGGCAACGAGATGAATTACAAGGGCAGCGGGAAGGTCCACTTCGGAGTGGACGATGTGTCCCTCTACGGGACGCCGAAGGAGGAGCCGGGCCCGGGTCTACCGGGCCAGGAAGTCAAGCAGAGTTTCTTGAAGAATCAGCTTCAGGCCCTGTTCCAACCTACGGACAACAAGCTGGCCATGAAGTTGTTCGGCAGCAAAAAGGCTCTGATGAAGGAACGAATCAGGCAAAAGGCTGCAGGTCACTGGGTCATCCATCCTTGTTCCAGTTTTCGGTGAGTCCTTCCAGCAAAATCGCTTCACCTTCAGCGACAGGAAACGATGAGATATCGATTTCGTGTCTCGATTCCGGATGCTTTCTAATCATCATGTTCGATCCTCGATTCATAATATTGTCAATTGATCGTGTGATGAACGATCTTTGCCAATTTTTTATAGCAACTAAGGTGGGTCGTGATGAGTCCTTGGATTAGGATGAATTACGTGAAGGAATTTTATTTCTGTCAAATTATTTTTGATTCATAATGCGTAGATTATTGTTCACTATTTAAATACCGTTAAAAACACATATTAGTTAGATTAATTGTCCAAAGATCATGTCTTCTAGAATTCTATAAATCACTATTATTTAAAATAAATGATTTAATAAATTATTTAAAATATTATAAGTTTTGCAAAAAATCGATCTAAAGAAATTAGAGAAGATTTAAAAAATTAGTATATTTGGTATTTATATAGAAAGAATTTTGTTTAATTTAAGAATTGAGATTTTTATAAAATTAAACCTGTATTCTTTTTGAATAAAATTTTTAACACTTTATAAATGATCTGCAAAATATTGAAATTTTAAAAAAACTGTCCTTAGTATGATCAGGAAAAAATGAATACTCATCAATAAAGGCAAGAGAAAAACTAAAAATTATTAATAGTTATAACATTTTTATAATCGATTAATTTTGTTATTTAGAATTCTCGCTTAAATCTCTTAATTTTACTCAAAAAATGAGAAACATTGAATATTTTATACAAACGGTTTCAAATGTTTTAAAACATTCACGTAAGGAATCATTCCCTATGGTGTTGGATTAGGATAGAAATAGATTTTAAATTTTTAAATTGCTTCTCAATTAATTTAAATGACTCTAAACGAGAAAAATAATTGGTTCATTCCTCTTCCTGTTAAACTATACAATATTTATGGCTTACACGATCTTAAATTACTATTACCTCTTCTGGATATAAGAGTCTTATAAGACTCTTATAAGACTCTATCTAAACTTAGAAAGGTGGTGTAATGGTTATTAATAGAGTTGTTGAAGAAATTCATAAAGGTTATACAAAGGTTATTATCTCTATTTACGATGTTTATTTTCATAAAAACTTTATTTTAAAAAAACAACATAAAGTGAAACGCATTCTTGATGCATTCTATGTCTAAAATATTCGAAAAACATCAAGAATGAAGAAATTCAATTTTGATAAAAAACTAGTTTCTGATATTAATAACGTTGATTTTATTTATTGTTGCAAATATTAAACAATTCAATTGATATATATATATTTTGTTTAATACATATTATTTTTATGATATAATTTTTGTGCAAATTATTTATTGAATAAAATGAAATTTGAAATATATATTTGAAATTAGAAATATATAGAAAACAAATCTGCTTTTAAATTATCTTTATCTCTATATGAATTGTCCCAATTAATACTTGGACATCTACAAAAATCGATTATTCTTTTTAAACCCAAATATAAAATTTCGTTCATTCGTATTTTTAATTTTGTAAAATTAAGATTTTTCTAATATTCCTTAAAAGATTCATGTACGATTAATAATATTATCAATTTTAATTAATTGAAACTCTTTATACTTTTTATGTAAAAAGAAGCTTCAATCCTACATTAGCAAATAAGACTCATTTATAATTTATTAATGGTGACATGTAAATATGTCAATCTGTCCATAAACAAACATTAACAAAATATTTATCAAAAATATCACGAACAAATTAATAAAAAAATTATAAAAATAAAATTTTAAAAATAATCTAGTCTACGATAATTTAAAGAAGAATATTTCTAGGTCAAATAAATTTCTTCTCGATAGAAATTGAATCGTGTATGTTTGATTAATTTACGCGAAAAACAGAGCGTGTTGCATGTAGATTTTCTTCAACGTTTTTTCCCTTCTTTTTCCTTTTAGCCCGATCTCTCAAAGCAACATTCCTCGATGATCGCTAACGAGGAGTGAATTTGGAGGATCTATCGCGCTGGTACCACTTCTGTTTGGCCTAATTATCAATTAAAACGTCTAATTAGAGTGGTTTGCTCCAAGTCCAAACCCGAATTGAACGGAACAGTTGTGTCGAAGGTTTCCTTCCATCGCGATTGCGCGATGATCGGCTTTGACCCAGTTCACAATCTTGACGGAGAAAACAATCGATGATAAATCTGACTACATCGAATAACAGATAATTCTATAAACACGATTCTGCGACAGATTTTCCTTTTGTTTTCTTTCTTTGACTAGATATTACTTTATATAATCTTTACGCAAATGTATTCGAAAAAAAATTATTTATACGAACTGTTATCTCTGCGTGTTATTTTTAGTTCCTATTTATCGATCTGTTAATTCGATTAGTTTTTACAGCAATCATGTTTTAATCTGTTTTAATCTTTTAATCTGATTCCCGATTATTCATGAATATTTTTTTCACAATTCTTAAAAAATGCGAAAAAATTCTAAAATACTTGTCATGCAATTATTCATTCCGAAGTCGAAATAGTTTATTTTCTTCCAGATATAAACGATCCAAGTTGCCCATGGTTAATTTTTCTCTTTTATTTTAAATCTCACAAGAGATTTACTGTAACAAAATTACAGAAGAACGATTAACATTAAAAGTTACAAAAGTAGAATAACAAGATTTAAGTTTTATTGGTAACCGTTACAAATCCTTTTTTTATAAGGAATCCTCGTAGCAATGCTTGTGAAGTTTAAATTTTTTCACAGTATTGGTCGGTATTCTCGCGTGTCAGGCACGTTGAAAAGAATTATAGCTTTGGGTATCCTTGGCCTCCGTCTTCCGGGACAGGATAAAGCACTTTCCCATATCAGAGTCGAATTCCTGGTGTTGCTTGGCCAACGGCTCGATCTGATCAACCGGAATGCATTTGTGTCGCGACATATTTCGAGGAAAGGCCGAACAAAGAAGATATTCTTCTCCCGGGATAACACGTAACCATTTGACTTGCTTGATCAATTAATAGAACTGGTATGGTGGTCGCTTATGGTGGTCCATTTAGCTTTTTACGTGAATGTCTTATAGCAGTGTTTCCCAATCCTAATTTTGATTCATTATGATATAAATCAAATTTTATTATGATTTATTATCTAGTAATCGACACAATATTGATACAAATTTATTTTATTTGTATCAATTTAATTATTTTATTTCGTGTGTATGAAAAGATTTATTTAATGAATTTGATAATTTTTTTTTATAATAATTAATCAAGTTTTGAAAAAATATAATTTATGTTCATCATTGTTTTGTTTCTTTTTAATTGTTCTCTAAAATGTTCTTTAAATTGCTCTTCTAAATTGGATACTTTACAGAGACACTGTTTCATGGAATAAGAATGTCTTTTGAAGGACATCGATCGAATTTAACACGAATTTATAATTGGTTAGAAAAATGTTATCATAATTAAATAATTCGTAAAATTATATATATACAATTAATATATAATAGAAATTATATAATTTTTATTATTATATTTTATATTTTCTATATAAAATATTTATATAATAAAGAGATAATAAAGAAATAGAGAGATGAATTTTAACAAAAAAGAATTTTGAAAGAAGAAAATAATATGCAATATGTAGAATTCAAAAAGGAGAAGATTTTCTGTGACCCTTTTTTATGAAGAAATATTGAAAGAAATAGAAACGCTAGAAATATGTAGATTTGTTTTTAAACCCATAATGTGTGTCATATTTTTGCAGTTTTTAGCTAAGTCTTTTGAAAATTAAATGAATAGTTAATTAATTCTAACAATGAATCTTTAAATATTCTGTTTAAAAATCTAAAATCCAATCATATTATCCATAATTCCTTGCAGAATTGCTTCGATATATTGAAATCAATAAATTAACAAAACTAGGTCAATCACATTTTCCTGAATTAACTTCATATATAAATTATTTCTACTGCCATATATTCATTTCATTTTTATTAAAAAAAAAAAATGCATTCGAAAACATCACTATTTAATTAAAGATAAAATTAAATAATATATTTAATAAAATTTATACCAAATTTATTTAAAAAAAAAAATATTTTAAAAGTTATGTAAACGAGTAACTTTCACGATATTTTTCAAATATTCGCACTAAGCTGCTTGAAAATCCTGGAAATGATTGGAAACAGTGACTCTCTTTATTTGCTCGCGAGTTCAATGAGCCGATTGATCGAAAAATCTGAAGGATTCTCGAGGGTCATAAGTTGAAATTGCTGAAATTATCGTACCATAATTATTCGCGAAATAGCTCTATTTTTACCTTCAGAATTTTCTTTAATTACTAATAATATAAGGATGTTTCATCCTTGTTACGTGGACATTTTATTCGTCATCAATGTTAACGATTCTCCTGAATTACAATTGCATGTACACTTGGCAACCATTGATCGGGAAAACGAGAGAAATCTTTCAATTATGCAGCATTCGAGGAATACTAATCCTTGTTCTAAATATACATGTGCAGAAATAATGGAGAGATATCAATGAATATTTAATGTGATAGATTTGTATTCGACTCGTGATGATATTTTAAGCGTAATTTAGTTTATTTATGGATCTTTGGAATTAACGTTTAATGAAATAAGTATATAATAACATTACTATTTTAATGCCTTTAAGCAATTTAAAAATTATCTTCTCACTTATTCCTTCTTTTTTATTTATATTATATTTTATATATATTTCATATATCGAATAACTTATTTTCCCATTTATTTAATTTAAAATATTTCAAAACTATTGATTCTTAAACGATCTTATTCGATCGAAAAGATATTATAAACAATTGCTCTATAAGCTCCAAATAATTACATTAAAAATAAAAAAATAAAAAACTTAAAATTTATCCAACCTTGAAATAAAAATCAAAATCATAATTCTGTCCGATTTCTTGCAAAAATCACAAGTATCAAACGATAAGAGTTGAAGGATCGCCATGACGCCGCCATATTGTCAC